ATAAAATATGCCTTTGTTTGTAGACAGTACCTGAACATGTTTGTTAAACGATCATTCTATAATTTTTAACTACATGGAGAGGAGGGCAGTAATTGTTACCTGTTTTCAAAGCTAGAACATGCTTCGGGTAGTTAAAATAACAATAACGATAATCACCATTCTACGCTCTGAACGTAGTTGTCAGCTTTTTATTTTCTTTAATTTGTTCAGCCAGTTTTCTATCTTACGGTACATATCGGGTTCGAAATTTCCTCTAATAAGAAAACCTATGATCCGAGTTATCATAACATAACATTTATAATATTAAACATTTTGAACAATTCATATATTATTCAAATATATCGCTCGAAAGTAGCTGAATTTTTTAGCAAATCAATAGGTAATAAGACACTTATCTGTGAATTTTATTTCTAATCTGTATTCTACAGTAGGTATACATAAGAAATATAATAGTTCAGATTATGTTCGCAAAAAGGAATATTAAGCAAAACACTTATTTCTATAACTAAAAAAATAAAAACACAGTTTACTTGAATGTACAAGTGAGTATGTAAATGCACTTTATTTCACGCCCACTCAGTGGTCGTTTGTAGCACACATGCGACAGAGACCGAAGAAAAACGGGTCTAGCATTACTTTCATAGCAAAATTGGGTTTAAAAGGAAACTTTATGTTACTCTAGATCAGGGGTGGCCAACCGGTCTATAGCGATCGTTGGTCCAGTCGATCGTGGCCAGTCCAAAAATATAAATAAATAGACCAGACTGTGCATTTTAATTATCAACACCTGCAGCACATCTTGTATCATTTTTCAATCGCTGTTCCGTCACGTTATTTATGCTCTATTCTACAAAGTATAGTGTTTTGTTTTCGACACGCAATGACCAATAAGCGGGAAGCGTGTGGGTTACGGGGGAGCGCCGTGACTCAAGTGTCAATCCGTCCAGTGTCACCCAATAATAATCGGTCAGGTGACAGTTGACGACGTTAATTTCTTTTAAAATTGTAAATTCCATAAAAGGAAATCCCTTCCCAGTCGACTCTTTAAACAGCAATTAGATGAAAAGCAACCAGAATTGGCATTGCACATTGACGTAAGGTGATTAAGCCGAAGCAAATTTTTGCAAACATTTCGAAATCTCTTGGAAGAAATAATAATATTTCTTGATGAAAGGGGTGATGATTGTCATCATTTGCATGATTTGGACTGGCAGTATGATTTAGCTTTTTTGGTTGATTTTACTGGTAAACTAAGTACATTAAATCTGAATCTACAGGGAAGGAATAAAACATTAATACTTAATAGAAATGATGAGTTCTATTGCAGCGTTTCAAAGTCAAACAGAATCTATGATAGTTAACATAGAGAAGAAAAAATTCGAGCAATTTAGACCAGTGTCGATAGCTTTTAAAACATAAAAAAATTATAGTAGAATAAAACCCATTAGAAAAGGGGGGAAATATTATAAAAATTTAAGGGAAAATAATTTACGGGCGGTCTGAGGTCGGTTCTACACCATCGGAAAAAAGAGATTTCAACAAATATATAACATACCAAATTTTTGAAAAAAGCTGATATTTAGACGGGTAATTTTTCGATTGAAAATGAGGCTGATTTTTCGGTATTTATTCAAAATAAGCTGAAAAAATAAATATTTGTAATCAAATAAATTACAGTGTATTTGGGACATCAAAAGATAACTTTTCATCAAATTTCGTGACAAAATATTGTTTTTTGGAAAAGATAAAAACATAAAACAAAAAACTTGGTCCTATGGATTTTTTCACATAAATTTTGAGGTTATGTGAAAGAAATGTACGTACAAAAGTTTAGAATCTTTTTATTACCTACAACTTTGTTTTTTAACTTTTTTTCGTAGAACGTTTAATTTTTCCGGAAATCGAGAAAACCCATTTTTACCCCTAAATATTCTTACCTTCATATCCTTCCCGACCTCAGATCGCCCGTAAATTATTTTCCCTTTAATTTTTAAATTATTTCCCTCCCTTTCTAATAGGTTTCATACTCCTATAATTTTTTTCACTTTTCATTAATTTTAAAGGCTACCCTAGGCTAATCTGTAAACATCAAGGATCATGTACAAAAACATCCTACTTATTATTTAATTTCTGAGAAGTACACGACAGAAATTAGTGATAGCAGACTTTGAAATTCGGTTTAGTGATTTCAGACAAATTGAGAAGTTGTTTCAATTTATAAGTTATCCGTTTAATGATGCCATTAACCACAGTGATATCTATGAATTGGCTACAAAATTTGCAGATACATTTCAAATGAACCAAATGATGTTACAAAACGAAATCATTACTCTGCGCTGCGACATATTTCTAAAAGCAAGGTCTTCCTCAGGTAAAGATTTCTGGGCACTGGTTTCCGAAGAAAAATATCCAAATTTGAAGAAATGTGTTGAACAACTTCATTCGTGTTTTGATTCAACATATTTATGTGAATCAGCATTTTCCTACTTAAAACAAACCAAAACTAAACACCGTTCTCGCCTGACAGACGCTCATAACCTGATTATGCTTAACTAGTGGAAAATGTTCAGGCGCAATGCTCACTCTAATATATAGGATCCACATAATGTTAAGTAAATTTAAGAAAACGATCTCATATGTGATATAAAAAGAAACTACTAAGACTGGTTAATAAAAAATACATGATTTTGATGATGTGTACTAAACTATGCAGTTCCATTTCAAGAAGTACATATGGACTTAGTAGATCGCAGAGGGTTTTGTTAGTAAACAGTAGATCTTAGGTCTAATCAAGTTGGCCACCCCTGCTCTAGAAGTCTGTGAAATGTATAGGGTCAAATTAGCTCTATATCCTTGTTCATATTTGGGTTTGGAAAACTATTTAAACACTTCCAGAAACTCTTCTTATTTTTAAATGACATAGTTTTTTCAAACTACATAGGTTTTTGTCAATTTTAAATGTCGTTAGATAAATCCTATTAGAGTGTATGTAGTAAACTTCACAAGTTTTTAACATCATTCTCCCAATTAGTATCAATAAAATTATGACACAGACTTTCTCCAACTCTTCCATATAACAATTTTAAGATAATTTTCAGAATAAATATTAAATTAATCGAAGAAAAGTATAGTTTTTTTTTATATTTCCACCGAATAATCGTCACTTCCAATTCCATCTGACGACAAATCCTATAAAATAAAGTTCGAAATGAAACAATTTGTACACATATAGGAAATTTATTGAAAACAATTTGAAGGTTCGTTGACCCGGTGACGTTGTAACAAAGTGTCTTAACAAAATAAGCAACAGAATAACAAAATAAACTTTGTACTCATCAGTATGGCACCACGATAGGCAGAGGGATAATACAAACCTAACTTAAGTACTATACAACGCCGCTTGTAGCACCGAAAGAGGACTTAAACTAGCCAAATTCATCCATTCCCTTCGCTTCGCAAGGGTAAAAAAACTTAAGTGTACTTCACTAACCTTTTGCGTTTGAAATTTAAGACCCTCTTACAATACGTCCTAACTTTGACCAAGTCATAAATTCCCTCACCCTAAATATCACATACTCTACGATCCAAAACATTTTTTATTATTGACGTTAACCCTACACCAAATAGACTTCCGTGTTGCCACACTGAATATAAAAGAAAAATATGTAATAATGATTTTTCAGAAGCTTATGTTCTAATTTCTACAGCTTACAAACTAACATTCAGTTTTTCTCAGATTTTTTATACAGAAATCCTTGACATAAATTTTAATCTACTTTTTAATGTCAAAAATATTTAATGTTTTTTTATCTGTGAACTAGTGGCTTGTTGTTTTTATCTACGGCCGGATGAATGTCATATGTTTCGTACATACTTCTATATTAATTCAAGAGTTACTTAGCCCGTTTTCTTTAAGAGTATATATTGTGTACAGTCTACCTACATCTTACAACTACTAATAAATACAATATCTAACTATAGTTAAGGATACACAACATTTAATTCGGTATATTACCTCAGTTTCAATATAAGTACGTAATGACGAAACTACGATGAATATTACGGCCACATACCTACAAAAATTCCGAAACTAAGACATTCAAAAGACGAAAACCAGATATAAAATTTCTCGATTTCGTATTGAGAATTAATATAAGATAAATCTTTGTGTTATTTTTCTAAAATAACACAAGATTATTTTAAAACAGCTATTAAATCGTTGGCTTAGGTGTTACAGTGTACTGTTTCTATGTAAAAAATAAATTTAAATCAATATTATAACGAACCCGGTATAACCTTGATACATTTAAACTTATCCAATGTTCCCCAAAAAAATTAAGTAATAATCAATAGCTTCTCTTTAATATATTTTATAAGCAACTCCTCAGAAGTACTTAAACATCGCAAACTATTTAATACTGTGTATCTAATGTTCTATATATAATGAAAATCAGCACCATAAAGCAGTCATTTACAACAGCAAGCGAAGTCGGGGTCATTTCATTGTGCAAATAAACACATACACATGTTTCAGATCATTATAACATTACCATAAGTTTGAATTATAGACGGTTTAACGTTTTTCCCTATCAACATTTAAGATTTAAAAACTTTAAATACTCAGTGACAATCTTGTGGCTAATATATATATTTACTTACTAAAATACAATGACACAACTACTTTTACTCAAAGACACCAATATTAAATCTACAAAGCAGAGTTACATGACAATCACAGATTATAAAATAACTACCGAGAAATATCTCTTACACACAATAGTGTTAAATTTATCAAAGAATATACAGATCTTATATGTAAAATGAACCCTATACACTTAGAAAATAGGGTTTAAATTAACATGTATACGAGATAGAAAAATCCAATTTAAAGCGATATAGGAACAGATCTAAATAAAAATTGGTATAATATAGAAGGGGTTTGTAATGGACATAAGAATAGATCATATACTGAATAAATTGAATTTTATACTAAACAGTCATCAAATCTTTCCGAGTGCTTCTAAATTACTATGATGCGAGTCGATCCTATTCATCTTCGCCTTTTCATCGTTGAGTGACTTCGACGTGACTTCGAGTTGTTTTTCATTGGTCGTTATTTCAGAGTCGAGGAAGTCACTCGTTCCGTTCGACTTCGGAGTAGTCTCGGAGTAGGAGAGATTTAAATTTGATACGGATTTGATTTTATCTGAATTTTCCAGACCAGAAGCCAGTGACTTTGACATCGGGTTGTCTGAAAAAATATAATAATATTACATTTATATGACTATGCTGTTATTAACAATAGTTAGTTATCTATTAAATGGGCGAATAAAATTAAAATTCAGACAATAAACGCAGTCACTAACAAACGACAAAACACATTTTTATAAGTTAACAATAATGAAATATATTACGACCGAATTCACAAGTTAATACAAAACATAACAAAATACTTAAACAGATAAAAAATAAATCGAAATTAAATCTTAAAACATACACAGATGATAAACACATTTCTTATTTTTTTATATAATACCTTTAATGATGTTTTTAAATCCATTAGCGCAGGCCTGTTGAAAAGTTACATTTTAAATTTGATTTTTTTTTAAATTTTAATTTCTTATTTTTTTTAAATTGATAATACTTTTAAATTATTATTAAATTACGTTTAGATCAACAGTTATAAAGTCAATAGGTTTTTTATTACAATTTTAATGCAGACAAAAGATTTCATACAATATTCTGCCAATGTCATATCTATATTTATTTTTAATGTTTTATTTTGGCTAAATCTCTAAATATTATTTTAGTAAAATGACTTTTGGGTTTGGTTGTGGAATATGAAATTTTAGTTGATAATTTAACTAAATACTTTATACTCTTCTCTGAATTATATATGTTTTTATTGTGTTATCTATATGTATTGTATTATATTTTAGTGTGTAAATAACACAATCTTTATCTAAATACCAAACTTTTATTTCAATAGACAAACTCTTTCGTGTTTTCTCCACACGGTATTAAAAAAATTGTAATCCGTCCAACTATTAAAATACAGACATTGGCAGAATATGCTACAATTTCAGTATGAACGAGGCCATAGCACAAAAAAAATACTTTTACTTGACATGCTTATATTTGACGTAGGTGACACCTGTCAAAGTTGACGTAACAGTTATTGGGCGGGAAAAGTAACTATTAAAGTTTGAAGATTGCGAATAAGTCAGCATAAAAAATGTTTGAATATATCTACAACATAATTAGTTTATTAAGTTATAATACAATGATTTCGGTATTCAAGTAGGAAACAAATATTAAATTATTAGTTATTATGCTTGTCATTCATTCCTCCTAATATTATAAATGCGAAAGTAACTCTGTCTGTTTGTCTGTTACGCTTTCACGCGTAAACCACTGAACTGGTTTAAATGAAATTTGGTACAGAGATAGAGTTGACATCGAAAAAGAACATAGGATAGTTTTTATCCCAGACATTTGAAAGGTTCTCTTGGAAACGCGATATAACCGAACTCCACGCGGGCGAAGCTGCGGACGGAAAGCTAGTAAATGTTATATATGTATATGTAATATGTATTACCTCTAAATGTTTCTGGGCCCGGTGTTCTTGGTTTATCTTTGGGCTCGGCCGGCATTGATGACGCGCGATTACTTGTCACCATACCTAAGACACTGAAGAATAGGTTTTCATCATTATCTATACTAATATTATAAAGCTGAAGAGTTTGTTTGTTTGTTTGTTTGTTTGTTTGTTTGTTTGTTTGAAAGCGCTAATCTCCGAAACTACTGGTTCGAATTGAATAATTCTTTTTGTGTTGGATAGTCCAGTTATCGAGGAAGGCTTTGGGCTATATAACATCACGCTACGACTAACAGGAGCAAAGATATAGTGGTAAATGTGTAAAAACGGGAGAAATTATTTCATCTTTGAAGCCTTCCGTTGCGTGCGCCGTGAAAACGGTTCAAGATACACAAAAAAATATGTATTAAAGAATAATAGCTCTTTTAATGATCTAAAAAACAGTCCGCGACAGTATATGTCTATCTTTTAAGATTAACTCACAAAAACCGTTTTTATGGTACCTAATTTGTTCGATATAATTTGTTTAAGTTGTATCAACATAATAATATTAATCTTTATTCAAATAAACAAATAAATATGTTGTTGGTTAAGAGTACTTCATTGTGAATAAAAAAAAAACAGGTTTTATCCTGAAAATTCTACGGGAACTCGACCATTCCGAAAACCCCGCAAGAACGGGAACTATGTGGGAAGAACCAAAAATCTGACGAAAGTCACTACTCCACGCGGACGAAGTCGCGGCAAAAGCTAGTCAATTATAAACATTATGATTTCTATTTAAAAAAATATTTGTATTCTAGAAATCGCTAATTCGAATCTAGGTCTTTTCTATAAATTTTTGATAAAACTCCTGATATATATCAAAAATTCATAGAGATTCGAGGTGGACAGAAATATGAGGCAGAGTAAGCTGAATATGTTTTAAAACAATATACAAATTTTCATCATAATATCCTCCTCTTAACATTGATAATATTCGCACATAATGTAAGCAGTCCGATCAGAACGAACATCTATATACTTTATGAATCTCTTAAGTAACTGAGCCACGAAAGTATCATAAAACGATTACGATCTATTCCTCATCCTTTATAAGTTACTAGAAGACCCGGCGAACTTCGTTTCGCCCTATAATCAAGAAATATCTGTTACGTTTTTTTATTTATATTTTTGGAGTTTACCTATTAAAGCCATAAATCTCCGTGTTTTGAAGTGATTAGGAATGATTAATAGTTAATATGAGAGTTACACTGAGCTAGCAAAATAATAATTGTCAACGTTACTACTACACTTGATGCACAAACAATAACGATGGCCGACAACTGTGTAGGGAGTGAGAGAAGTCTAATTGTGTGAGAGAAACAGAAGACCGGCTTCGTTCTCATCCCTACTCCGTGCTGTTTACTGGGTCAGAAGTGACACCTGTAGATATCTGGCGGGGATAACTTATTAAATGACGATTGATCAGTTATCGACCGGAGATGAAAAATGATTAAATTACTAAAATAGCTATTAAAAAATAAGGGTTGATCGTAGAAGGGTGAAAATTTAGGATTGTATGTATTTTTGTACGTTGTATCATAAAAAAATAGTAATTAAAAATTTTGTCTAAAAAATAAAAAAAAAAAATTTAGGGGTGGACTACCCCTAACATTTAGGGGGATGAAAAATAGATGTTGGCCGATTCTCATAGCTACAGAATAAGCACAAAAAATTTCATCAAAATCGGTCAGGTTGTTTCGGAGGAGTATGGGCACGAAAACTGTGACACGAGAATTTTATATATTAGATTTATATAGGAATATTTAGAGATTATTTAAAACAACAAATAAGGAAAACAAAATAACTTATTTGCGTGCACACAACCTGCTATCATACTTAATCCTACTAATATTATAATTGCGGAAGTTTGTGAGTGTGTGTAGGTTTGTTACTTCTTCACGCTCAAACGGCTGAACCGATTTTGATAAAATTTTGTATACAGGAAGCTGACGTTCAGGAATAACACATAGGCTACTTTACATTCCGGAAATCCGCGGGTAACACCGCGGGGCGCAGCTAGTACATTATATACTAACCGTGAGTGTCCCAGGTCCCCGTAAGGAGCCCCCGCCGCGCCGCCGCCGGTCAGGGCTCCGCGGGGCGTGTCGCAGGCCGCCGGCACCGCCCAGCCCTCCGCTATGAGAACCTCACACACGTCCAAGTAATTACCTGACGATGAGTTACATAGATATTAGACTAGTAAACTAATACTAATAGAGCTAAGACTGAAATCATATTGATAATATTAACTGTATATCACTCAGTGGTGGCCTAGTGGTTGAAAGTACCGCCTATCATGCACGAGGGCGCGGGTTCGATCCTAGCCGGGCAAGTACCAATGTAATTTTTCCGAGTCATATGTACTTTCTAAGAGTATTTAGACATCACTGATAATGCATTCCCAAAAAAGAGGGTTGATGTCAGGCATAAAAAAACTGCCAAAACTATTCACAACATGTAAGGCAGACCCTGGCTAAAGCTGGGAAATTGCCAGGTAGAAGAAGAAGAATATGAACTGTATATTATAGCTAAGATATGTCGCATCAGTTTAAAGATTGGCTACGTGAGTATTGTGGAATGTTTCCGACATTGGTTTACATCGCCATCTCGTGACGAGTGGTCGAACTATAATCTAAATTTTTACAGTAACATTCTTTTGTTAATGTCTATAAATGTTCTAGAATGATCTAGTAATATGATTTTTGTATAGAAAATGGCCGCCAGGTCAGTTTTGAATCAGTCTCTTGAGAAGCAACACAGGTTATCTGTGATTATAATAAAGTGAATATTTGTGTTTTTCTTTTAAATGCCGTGTTAATAATGCTTATCATACGTCAAAATTATGAAAACTTTGTAAGAATAGGTACTTCGATTTTAATTCAATATGGTATTCATTTTTGCTTACATTACTTATATCAATGGACCGTGTAAAAAGACGAAATAGTTTACTGAAACTTGAGTGAAATACAAAAAAAACACAACATGTATAAATTACATTACAGAAATTAAAACCTATGATTATAAGCTTTAAATTATAAAAAATTCAATAAACTATTACACTTAAACATAATAAGATTTTATGAGGTTGAATTAAAAACTAAAATAGAATATAGAAAGAAAAGTCATCAAAAGGAATTAGGAAGCGTAATAGTCGTTTGGCTAACAGTGTGTGTGTGTATGTGTTTATCCCTACCATCTGCTACGTCATATAGTTTTATCCCCGGCACTTCTCTCTCCCGGCCGCCGGCCACAGCGCTGCGTTTGTAACTACATGTACGAGACATTAATGGTTTCCATTTGGCTACCTGTAATAAGATTGTTAAAAATATATAATATAATGCTTGTAAAAATAATTAAAACTGCATTGTATTGTACTTTTTGTGTTTACATAATCAAAGTTTCTACAATACAGAAACAAATTAAATTAGAAAACGCAGATTTTCGTTGTAATTTTAACACAGACCTTAATTATTAACATGTATCAAATAAAATATATCGCATCATATGAAACCAATAATATTTCCTCGTCAAAAAATATTTAGACAAAAACTAATTAAACTATCGTTTGTATTCGGATTTACCCAAGAGTATAATTTTATACACCGAACTATATTATTATTCATTATTATTATGCATAAGCACAGCTTATACTGAGATGGACCCCCTTGCTACAAATTTAATTTTTTTTTTCTGTTTAACTGTATAATATGTGTAATGTATGTGTGTAGCAAAAAATAAAAATAAATAAATAAATATTCAATATCCTATATTCTAAGCCTAAATAAAACCAGTTTATATTGTTAGGAAAAGCTCCATCAAGTTCGACGTCTCATATATGTGTGACCTGTGTGAGTTCTTCGAATCTCTCAATAGCATTGGGATGCCAGCGTGGCGCTCCGCCCTCGTTCCTCTGTCTCGCGGGCTCCACACCGGCTAGGAAACACTCCATTGCCTTGAATATACAACAAATACACATATATTATTACTTATAGTTGTTTTATAATGTCTATATCTATTTAATTATATATACTTTTTATAGTTTAGATCCTATTATTACAAAACCTTACTAAAGTTTCTATGATTATTTAAATGTTAACACTTAGTCAGAGTTTACATAGCAACATGCAAACGGAACATTAACAGTATTTTATAATATTAGCTGACTGACCGTAAAGTTACAAAAGGAATTAAGACTATGTAAAGTTAGACTATCATCTCTCACTGTTATTTTAGTTTTCTTCCTACTAACGGTTTTTTATAAGTAATATGTAAAGAAAATTAATTAATTTAATATTATTTTGGGTTCAATTTATTAATATTATTATCATATTCACCTGGAACCTCAATCTTAACAGATCAGCTCTCAATTCACACAGCTCGTGGGTAGCTACATATTCACTGTCACCGTAGTCCAAGAAAAATACATCCGCTACCTGAAACACAAACCAAATTAATTATTTTCATATACAGGGTGACTGGTGAATTACTATCGATACTTGAGGACGTGATAATTGACGATCATATATGACAAAATAAAAATTAATATAACATAAATATTAATAAACTTCTAAGTAAAGTTAACCAAAAGTTATGTAATTAATTACGCATCGTGTGAACACCTACAGATTAGGTATACTCACACACACACACGCGCGCGCGGCGGCGTGGTGTTGTGTCAGCACGCCGCCGCACGCGTCCACACTTGGAACACTTGGAACGTGTCCACAATTTATTTATTTATACGGAAGTTTGGTCAAAAATTAAGTACCAATTTTTTTTACATAATTCGAATGAGAATCATGTACCGAGTATTCTCCTTAAATATTGATAGTAATTCACCAGTCCCCCTGTATATGTATGTTATAGGAGAATAATAAAATCTCTAATAAATACAAAAAAATCTTAAAGTAAGAGTAAGTACATCACCAGTCCCAGACAAAAGTGACCGCTTAAACTATTTGTTATTTAGCTATGTGTAGTTTTTATACTTTTATATTTTAACAATCTTTAAAATTACTAGTAACATGTTAAGTAAAAAACCAATTAGTGTTTTTAACGTGAATAAGATTTTTACTTCGAAGCTAATACGGACATTTCAACACCAAAAACGCGCATTCGCACTCGCACACCCATACACTCACGCACACAAACACATTATATACACACATTAAAATCATATTACACACGTCATAGTTTCAAACACACTAACTTGTTGTGTGTGATCAAATTCATTGGGCCTGATGTCGTTGACCCGCGCCCTGTACCAGCGGCCGTCGTGTCTGAACACAGCGGCCACCACCTGGCCCACGCTCACGTGACTTAACTGGAAAAAACATATATATCTTTATATATATAATTCTTCTGTAAGTGTGTATGTCACTGAACTTCTCTCAAACGACTTTTTGTGTGTGTTCAAGTGGATCTGGGAATGGTTTAGATTAACAATTTTGTCCACTGGACAATGTTTTTTTGATCAATTTTTAATTTATTAATAATTCTTGATACAAACTTTTTTTTTGACATTATATTTGACAATTAACTAATACATATGTCAATCATTCTGTCGCACTTCAAAACACGGAGATTTATGGCTTTAATAGGTAAACTCCAAAAATATAAATAAAAAACCGTAACAGATATTTCTTGATTATAGGGAGATATGAAGTTCGTCGGGTCTTCTAGTATATATATGTAAGATTTTCGCGAATATTCATTGAAATAAAACCAACATTTGTCGGATTTACTACGCGTTTCAAACATCTCGTCTGCCCGTGATCACGTTTGCTGCAAAGTAAGCGAAACGTCGGGAGTGTGTTAAAAATAATGTTAGTTTTATTTCAGTATATTTCAGTTGATGAGTAAAAAACATTATCATTTCTAAGATCACAGTACATTTGAGCAAAAAGCCCTTCATGTATATAATTCTATATATACAATAGGTCTTATCTTTCAAACCATATACAGGGTGTATGAAAAACTGTGTCAACCCTCTTAACTACGTTATCAGTATCGATAATGTAACACAATAAAACAACTTACAATAAAACAACAAACTCTTCAATAAAAACAATAAAATTAAATATTAAATGATTATTATATGTAGAGTAACAAAATGTTTGTAAGCCCTGGTATAACACGATGATACGCAATGACGTCATCACAGCTGCTGCGCTACTAGTGACGACCTCGAAGTTACTTTCACATTATTGAAAATATCGATATTTAAAAAATCATAACAATAAATAAATATTTAATATTCATATTATTTCGATACTTATTTTGATATATCAAACATTATTAATATGTTTGATTGTAAAACACCATTTTTAACAGAAATAGATTAACGATTTATCCTAATAATACAACATATGTAGTTAATTTACCCGAACAAGTTTCAAATTATAATATTTACTATTAATAAAAGTTATTTTAAATGTAATTGTTTTAATGTGAAAAGCATAACTATTTATAGCAATATTGAAAATGTCGATAGAATATTTAACGATATAACTAATTTTTACACTTTCAAATCTCTATTCGAACGACAACAGAATAGTAATAATAACGCCGGCGGCCCGGCGCCTGCGGTAAATGGTCACGCATGCGCCGTTGCGACATGCGACGCGCGACACAGATTTGAACCTGCTACCTCTGAAATGGTTTATATGTTCCTTATTTTGTATTTGATTAGAGGTGGTTAATATATTTGAAATACCTCACTAAGTATTGTATAGTATGTATGTCATCAGCCTATCAGAAGCCTACTGATGAGCAAAGGCGTCTTTCTCACATGGAGAAGGTTTGAGCATTAATCACTACGCTTGCTCAAGACGGGTTGGTGATTTCAAACTTATAATTGTGAAACTATAAGTCCAGGTTTCCTCACGATGTTTTCCTTCACCGTATGTCAGTGGTGTCTAAATACTGTCAGAAAGTACATATGACTCCGAAAAATCACATTGGTACTTGCCAGGTTTGAAGTATTGTATAGTGCTTTATAATAATTAATATAATTACTAACCGCATGATTAGCTCTATTATCTTTCTTGTTGTAATAGTCCGTCATGTGTGACACCAGTTCATCCAACTGAGTGACTTGAGGACCCACGAACTGAACCCAGAAACGTGATGGAGATGACACCGCTGACACGTACACCTCTATAGATGAAGACGCCTCTGGACACATTAGAATATATCATTAAACAAAATTGAACACCCTGTATATATGTCTATTAGAACTATAGCAGGCTAAGTAATAACAAATACACACACCCTGTATAAATATCTATCTAAAGTGCAACACACAAGTGTATGAATATCGTAAATATTGACCAATAAGTGATTCAATTAACATTTACACACACTGTATAAACTGTCACCGTAAAAATTTACTATAGATAATTCATGTTAAATGAGTAAAAATAATAAAGTGAATAAATATTTTACATATCGTACTTTACATATCATTGGAAACCTTGTATATATTTGTCAGCATTATAATTGCTTGTAACAAAGGAAGACAAAAACTAACAAAATAAAATCAAACCCACTTAAAATACAGCCCATATAAGGTGACAAATCCCAAAACATAAATATTATAATGAAATCAGTATTATATACCTCGAGCCACTACGATTTATATCATCAGTTATATATGAAAAATAAAACTAAAATAAAAATTATCTACAAACAAACAAAAAAAACAATAACAAACAAAAAAATATTAAGACAAAACATTCAAACAACACATTGTCTTGTTATGTCCTTATAGAAAATCAAATCATAATTTTGCTAACAATTAAAAAAAATTACTTGAAAGTAATCATATCATAATTCTGCTAACAATTAATTAAAAATTTTATAACTTATCATATCTTTGCCATAATTGTGACAGTTCATAGAACTAAGAATCGTTCAAAAATTTCATATACAAATAATATATTCTTTCAATAGTACCAACCTGACGAAAAATAATCAAAATTCTCATTAACATATATATATCAATTGATTATTGATAAACATAACAAGACAGAAAGCATGCATCTTACCACGCCTGTATTTCACATGCTTGGCCGTTTCACCTGGCGTGTTTGGTCTGTCGGGCAGAGCTGCCGGCAGGTCTGCCAGCGGCTGAGCTGGCTGAGGAGTCGGCGGGGTCGGCACGCGAGGCAAACGTCTAGAATGTTCTATCTCGCGACGACATCTCTCCGATTCCACCTTAGTAATTTATAATTACTTAAAATGATTTGAAATGAATTGAATGATTTAATTTATCTTAATTTTTTTGGGAGTAGAAAGAATTTTCTAAGACAATTTATGTATATTGACATACCATAGTTGATATAATTACAGTTTGGACAGGAAATAATAAATCCGTTTTTGGAATATTATCATGTATTCAAGTATAGATATTGATCAACTGATACTATTTTTGATTCCAACTGACATTTCAGTATGCTACGATATTTACGGATGACAATTTTAGCATTTATGAAGTAACTATCTTCATATTATGTAATAAAAAAAAGCTGTCACAGTAATATTTTTTTTAAATATATTTTTTAATACCAAGTGAGAAACAAATATTTGGTATAATTTTGTCACTTGCATGTTAGTTTTCTATTTTAATACTTATAACTTACACATTCAGCGATCATTTTCTTGGCCGCTTCAATCTGTTCCGCGGTGCCCTTCAGACTGACCTGCCGCTGGCCGTTGTCTCCTCTGTCCCCCTCAACCTTGACCCGAGCCCCACTAGTGTGGCTTATCAGGTTTATTGTTTCACCGCTGCCACCTGGAAAACGATATAAAAAAACATAATTGCCGTTGCTTAAAAAGTGCTTTCCAACATAAAAAAAATATATATTCGTAAATACTTTATGAAAATTTCAATATACGACAACTTTGTAATATTTTACTAATTGGATAAAGACAATTAAGAAAAATAGCGCATGGAGTCATTTCGCTCGGAAAAAGTGAAACTTTGTATGTTGGAGTGAACACAGGAAGTGGTAGAATTTTATTTTTAAGGAATTTTAGTGTTTCTTTAACAATATTGATAACCATTAAATAACAAGTCGTAACTGATTGCCCGCACGCGTTCGAGCAACACGCATTCCCGCTCACTCGGTCTCCTTTTACCCCCACCCCTCAGGAGTGTTAAACGTTTAACGCAACTTTGTTGGAAGTCGCATAAGATGTTTCAGTAAAAAAAACTATAACATAGCACAAGCAACAAAATGTAAAATATGAAAGATTCATTCAATTGACTGTTTATCTATTAAAATAGAACAACATCTATTGAGATAAAACAGAGACGAAATAACTCATCATTCCATGTATTCGCCGTGCGGGTGTCGGGTCCATCGTTGCAGAGAGAGGAGCTTCAACAGTGCCTGGGACTTGCAACCCAAGTGTAGGTTTAGGGGGTTATCTAAACCTTCATTTCAAAACACCATATCAATATTCTGTTATAATTCAAAACCCACCAATAATCCTGCCGCAAGCCCATCCGGGTACTTCCATAAAGTCGTTTTCTATCAACGGCTGTTGTTTAATAAAATCATGTATCAACGTCTCAGCAATCTGTGTAGCGTGAGATCTTCCTCGTAGAACGCAAACATCATACTCCTTATCACTAAACTTTTTAAAGTGTATTGTTGCACCTGTTTTCTCCTCGATTTGTTTAATATTTGAGCCACCCCTACCTGTAAAATTATATGCCATATTATGAGAGCTGTTAAGGGTTTTATAACTATATTAAACATAATTAATTATTTTTAAGAAAACCTAATGAAAATACTTTATTATACAACAAAAACCGTGAGTGTACTAAGAGCAAAACAACTAAAATGTTACTGTAGATAATTTAAGGATATATGGGAATAAAAAATGTAAATTGTAAAAGCCAGAGTCTAATACAATCGCTAGCTAAGTAAGTAACTAAACTAAGATTTATTTATTTATAAAGATTTTTGTTAAAGAAAAACTGTATTATTTTTAAAACAACTAAGTATGAATTAGGAATTCAACACATTTATACATTAATAACATGATTATCATATCAAGCCGGTAATTTGAAAATGCGTAGCAAAAACACCGAAACCAAAATAATTACTTTATAAATAAAATTATAACACATAAAACATAATAAATAGTTGAAAAGAAATACTTAATTTTCTCATGTTTCATTATGTTATCTCTTGTAAAATAGTTATTCAGAATTTGAGATAAGTATGACTTGTGAAACAATAATAAAGAAAGCCATAATATGAGAATAGACAAAATAAAATTTAAAAAATCAGGTTTTGAACCTTGGATCTTTGGAATCTTGGATTTCAGTCACCTAACCAAATGAACTATAGCGTCATTGAGTGATATCTTAGATTTTGGCTTGTTTTCATAGTGTCATGGCCTAGATCCTTTATATACAATTCCTATATATTAATATTACCTACATAATTTAATGAAGGATACTATATTTTCTCTTTAATTTGAATTAAAGTATTACTCAAGGTTTTTTAAATATTAAATATATCATAGCAACTAAACAATATCTGACAAGTAATATTTCAATATGAATAAAAATATGAAGATCTTCTTAAAATCTAACAATATTGTATGTCATATTTTGAAGGCAAAAAAGATTTAAAGTAATATGAATGTACAATATTGAACATAATACTCTGACGACAAGACCTTGGACATAAAAATGTATCATGTTTGGACATGAGCTCGTGACATAATCACGCTGTCATTAAATAAACACTTCAATCTTTATATATATTATTACAACTTATATATTAAATATTAGCTGCAGTAAATAGTAATTATATATATACATATAATATGTATACAATATGTATATTAAATGTTTATTTTTAAACAATTTCTTAATTAGTTAGCCACACATATTTTTCTTTGATATAACTTTAACTCACCGATGAGAGCCGGGACAATACTTTTAGGTACTTTAACTTCAATCATATTAAGTTTAGTTGATCGTATTGGTTTGTCTTCAGCTTCATCCTCTCTTTTGAATACATAGTAGACAACAAATGCACTAACTGTCACCAATGAAAAGCCCAATAGAGCGGGTAATAACAATTTGGTATTAAGAGCCATGATTCTGAAAAAAAAATTAAAAAGAAATTCATTGAGGTTAAAAAATATAAGTAATTTACATTCGTTTTATGATAAACGATTAGAAAATTGCATTTTGATAGATGAAGTTGATGGAATTTCGTACTTTAAATAGTGTCAAGTTCAAAAATTCAAAATATTTGCCCTATATACTTGCTCCGCTATTAACTGTATTAAAAATAAAGCTCACCCAGTTAATCGATATGTTTAAAAGAGAATTTAATATTTTAATGATGAATAAATACTGATTTATGATATAATAGTCTATAAGCAGCAATGACATAAGACGAATTGCAACACATGTAATATGACACCTGTTACGCACAAACTGACACAATTTACCTTGTTTTTATATATTAAAATGTGCAGCGCATCAAAAGAAAACGACTTTCTTATATCGTTTCTAAATCCTACTGATAACGAAAAGTTTATTTCGCCGCATTTCGTATTCGGATATATCAAATCGTTTATAAAATGTCACTTTTAAACATTGACAATTCAACTGAATTACTTTTGAGTTTTGACAATGTTATAAAATAGAGCTTTAAGTCTACTTTTATATTGATTATTAGGAAGGAACTTTTTTATATCTCTATTAAAACAATGTTAAAATGACACTGACATAGCAAACCTTTTGAAAATAATTTACTATAGTATTTTAATAGAGTGAAAAATATATACAAAAGTCTACGATGCACCATCGAAGGTTACAAATACATTTATTATAATAATTAATAACATATTCGCAGGTCATTGCGACAGAAATCTTTCTTATTTAGTTCATTTAAATCTGTTATAATGGATGTAAGGGGAAGGAATAATTCAAAGAAAAAATCTGATTAATCTAACATCTATAGAAATATTTTTGACATTTGTAAATTGTAGTACTTTTATAAAGAAATAAAAAATAGAAGTAGGCGTATCAAAATTATACTGATTTTAAAAATCTTAATATATATTATGTTAAACATATACATAATAATGTCAGAAACTTTTTATAAATAAAGGCTAATTACCTCAACATTTATCTTAAAAATAAGTTAAATAACTGCTTTGATTTAAAGTATGCTTTGAATATCGGAATTTTATATATTATGTAGGTATATCTATATTTACAATACACAGGGTGTCTAGTAAAGAATATGTAACCTTGAAATGTCTTATTATGGCCATTCAGAAAAAAATATGAAAGAAATGTGCTATAGCTAGTCTACATTATGTACTATGTATCATCACAGTTAGTGTATAAATAATAAAACACCAAAAAACCGATGTTATTCATTCATTTCTGGCCGTAGTATTCAAGAAAGTAAAAAAATTAGAAATTCTTTAAAAGAAACTTATCTTGAGCACTCCTTACGATATATTTTGTTTCATATTTTTTTTCTGAAAGGCCATTAGTTCTTCTATAAGACATTTCAAGGTTACCCATTCTTTAATGGACACCCTGTATAAGAAACTATCTTATTTGTATTTTTTAATTATCGTTTTCAGTGTTATTTATCATTAAAAGAAAACATATATTAAGCAAGCTATGACTTGGGACTTGACATTAGGTAAGAATCTTGGTTTCATTATTCGTTAATTTTACATCGATTGTCACGACCTTTGCTGTTTTCTTTCCATCCAATTTCGCATCATAAGAAAAATACTATCATTCAAACACACGACACTAAGTTTACCATGCTTATACCAAAACGTAGATAATGCGGTATAATGCATTAAAAGTGTTCACTACATTAATCATTAAATAATTTAATACATTTCCCTGATCTTTCGACAATTGAAAAAAATTACAACAAAATAAATATTTTGCCTTAAAATGTAACAATATGTTAATAGAGCTTGTATTATCATGATAAGTGATATTAAAGCTATTTAAAGTAGGTACACTTGCTACGTAATCTGTAAATTTTGTAAATTTTGGGCACCCTACTCAGGGCTAGCGTGCGCATCAATAAAACGTAATAGCCGTATTCGTTATTTTTTTGTTGGTCCCATCACGAAAGCTTACCATAACCAGCTGACAGTTGAACATCAAACTCACAATCATGCAACGTCCTTACAAACGCCGGTTTTTGCGTCCAAGTAATATGCATGAGGCCTTTTATGGCGGTAAAAGAACAAAGGAATAAAAATGAGAAAATCTTAATATATATCTTTATGTAAATGTATTTTTTTAATTAATAGATTTCGAATACGTTGTCACCAAGAAAAAACCTCCAAGGATATGTTTCGGTACGGGGTTGGATCGGGAAGTTCTACCTATGAAGGGTCCAGCACTCAGCCCTTTTATGAGGCGGATGGCACATGAAGTTAGACCTAACTTAGGACCTGGCTCTTACAACGATAATCGTGATGCGTTTTACAATATTAATAACAGAGTACGCTTATTACCATGAGATATGGTTTGTCCTTTGAGCAACCGTTCTTATTCTCTAAATTGAATTCTGTAGATACTCTAATAATAATGCATACATAGCGAAAGAAATTATGTGTTTCCCGTTTATACCCAAATAATACACTCGCTCACGCTCCAACGAGCAGTGATGATTATTGAAAATATCAAAATTCACTTACATTTTTCGTTTTTATATCACAATACATTGATAGTTTTTTGTTATGAATTTAAAAAACAGATTTATAGCAAATGTTACTACGGTCAAAAATCACCAAGATGGAAGGTGAGGCACGAATATCAACCACCGCCTCAAGAGCCGCCTCCGAAAAAACCAATCCATCAGAACTGTGCGCCTTTTAACTCCACCTCCAAGAGAAAGGCGTTATTCAAGGCTAGTGACTATCCTGCGTAAGTATGATAACAATTGAATTGACCGAATATTATCGTGTATACTTTCGCATAATGTATTTTATATACTCTCCCTTTTTATAGGCCATGTGACTATCTTCCCGAGTACAAGAAACAACAAATGAAATTTTCATATAGTTTTTCAGGGAAAAAAGTGTTGAAGTGTGCCGTACAGGTGATTATCAATATTATCATGACTTTATTTCAAAGTAGTTTTGAGCCGTGAATAGTTTTATGGCTTATTATTTCATTCTTTAATTTTTCTTCTAATGATAAAGCATTCTCTATTTTTAACGTGTTTTATGTATCATTTTTTTTTTAGATTAAATGCGTTCCTTACAATTTGGATGCTTGCGGTTTTTGTGGTTGTTCTTGTTCAGAACAAGGAGACTACTGGCACTTTGAAAATAGAATTTTCCTATGTAGGAAACATTACTCGATATTATTCAAGCATTGTCTTGCGAAATTTCAAGGAGTTAAGTTAACTGAATTCAAGGTACATAAAATATATTTTTATATTTAATTAAATTCTTGAAAGATGTCGTCAAAAAATTAATTTGTTTTATTGCAGTCGGTGAGAGATTGTTTCTTTGCCCATGCACATAACAGCTGTAAAGCTGCTCTCAAAATCATGAAAAGTGAAGAAATTGAAAAAAAGTTGAGAAAAGAAGCCTATCTAGATTTATTTTTCCCCCAGCGTAGATTTTGCAATAATTAATTAGTTTTTTTTCATTGAGTATTGAAGACCTTAATAATTAGTTGTATTTTTGAAATAAATAAAAATATGAAGCTGTGTATTCAACTAGGTTTCTTAATATATTAATTTTGATAAATTGTAATATGCATATTATAATTTACTATGTAATATAACGTTATTACAATTTGTTGTTTTCATGCGCAACAATATTTTTAATGTTAGCAACACCACCATCATCAATCATCTGACTAGGACAACAAGTGCCCACCTCTATTTATTATTTATTTTGATAACAAATCAATAACTCCAATAACAATATTAATCATGAAGTTGGATTCTAATAATAAAATGATTAACGGTGATAGTGGTGACAACCCTGACGAGGTTGTTGATCCACGACAAAACGCAGAAGATATTATTGACGAGATTTTAGCAGAGTTTACCGAGTCTAGATCGCCCGACTCAATACGGAATGGAAATGGAATTCCAGAGAATTTGTTCAACATAATGCAGCCGCCGAGAACCAGAACACCAGCTAATTCATTCTCTGAAAACGCGACTGTAGATGATATAGACCCCTCTTCGGATCTTGGTACTTCCATCAGAAACAAGTGTTTAGAACTGGAAGAAATACTACAAAGCCTAAAATCGCGGCTAAATCACGTCGTTCTCGATGAAAATATTGTGCTTAGCCCAGACGCAAACTCTATGGAGGCGCAGCTCGAACATGATTTGGACACAGACTGCCAAGAAGAACTCTCCTTACAAGAATTCCTCGAAATCCTTCACTCACAAAACAAAATAACCACCAGCGGTGTACAGTGATGACTGTACAATATTCAAATGATGTAAAGAATTTTATAATTATAAATTCAGTTTATGTACAAGATTGGAGATTAGATCATTTATCAAATATTAAAGGTTTAGATGAAATTTAATGTTTCATTTTCAACTTGATGTACATAAAAAAAAGACCTTCAAATTTAACCGGTTTAATAAAAAATTCTTACACTTATAATAAACAGTAACAGCTAACAAAAATATATTCTTTTATAAATATGGAAACAATATATATAAGTAGTGTTACATATCATCAAACATATTGTTGACTTCGGTGCTTATGCTGTTTTCAGTTAATGTCGGAACTGTGTCATTCTCGTACAACTGACTTTCTTCACCCAAATTAGAATCAAAATTACTCAAATTATTCTCACTCTTAAGTATATAGCTCAAATTTTCCTCACTTATCAAATCCAAAACTTTATTCTGCTTCCGATCTATAAGATCGAGTTTGAAATCTTTAATCCAATTATTATAATATGACGGATCAGTTTTACATGATTCTGATCTGAAGTAGGCCATTGCATCTAATGCTTTGGTAAAGTCTCCGTCAACATTGCCGTATATCAGATGTTCAATAGCTTCTCTCATTTGTTTGTACAGATCACATATCGTCAGACCCTCAGTTTTAAGCTTTTCGTAATCATTTATAGGATTTAATGTTCCAATTACAATATCAGGTTTTTTAACAATGTTAAGATTAACTTTTGGCATATCATCAGAAATTTCTGACTCTCTAGAAGTGCTTGGTTTTTCATCAACATCTGTAGGAACGGTCTTTCTTTTCTGCTTTTTAACTTCAACTTTATTTAATACAAAAAGCTCTTTTAACTTTTCCATAGGATCTCTGGCCCTTTTTTCTATAAGAGGTGGTACTTTAAACAGTACCATAATATCATCCCTTGGCTGTGGCAAAGGCTGATTAGGATTCATTGCTCTGAAAGCTATACAATCAAGAATATATTGTACCAATGGACTAACAACCTTTGCTATAGGAAATGCTTCTGTGTCATCAAAATCTGATTCGTCATATGCTTTAGTGAGATCCATAGCTTTAATTAGCTCCTTGAATGCCTCAACCTGTTGTTCAGAACAATTATATTTCTTGAGATTAGTGGCCGGAAAAGCCATGCTCTTAATTTCTTCCTTATAACATATACCAGCCATTGAGAGACCAACAAAATTTTCTGTATCAATGACGGGCATTAATACAAACATTCTTGGAGCATTCCCATTATTATACACTCTTCTAACAACAGCCACTAAATCCAACTCTAAAAGACATTCTACGAGACACCTTATGGCATATTCACTCTTTTTATCCCCTTTTCGACCAAAAACATAATATAATCCATCTCCGTTCAAATTCTGCCAAGTAACATTACTTGATTTTGTAAAGCCATACACATTGAGTGATTTGTTTCCGGCATCATAAATCATACTTTTATCAAATTCTGAAAATGGTATAACCTGTTCCCCATACTGATAACCCTTAATAACTTCGGTAGATTCTACTTCCATTTGAGCTTCTGTGTTAATGAATGTCTTTTTTCTCTCAATATATTCAGTTGTACTCGATTTTTCTGTGACAGGATTTTTAACGGACTTTTTAAAATTTTTGACAACAGGTTCATCTTTTATTCTGATGTAAGCTGAAACTGGTATTTTAATGTTTGGTCCAATACTTAAATCGACATCCATCCAAGGACTTGAATTAATGGTTTTCTTTTTGTGGAATAGTAAATACCTCATGGCGTATTCAAAAGTGGCGGTGCTACCATTTGTTCCTTCAACAAATTGTCTCGCTAGATCTATATCAGAGTTTTTGTTGTCTTCATCGTATAACTCTGGACCAATCACATCTAATTCAAAGCCATCTTCTTGAAACCCTGTAATGGCCTGAAAATATAAACAGTTAATGAATACCATTTCTAAAAAATTTAAATACATTTTGATATATCATTTTAATTACTTGTTTCAATTTAATGAAAGAAACAAAGTATTGTCTCTATGACCTTAAAAAAATTATATTTCCCTTTTCTTATTCTTTTGTGAAGTATTTCATTGACAACACACCTCAATGTATCAGTCTCAATGGGAAAATCTAATGAGCATAAGATGCACTAGCAACTCCTTTAAGGGCCTATCACATAAACCATTAAAAAATTAGATATATACCGTCTCAATATCATTTTCTTCTAAGTCTGACTGTGCTTCAAAGTTGGTTAACAGAATAATATTTTTATCAGCAATTTTAAAACTTGATGTATCACTTTTAAATAGATCCACCGCTACTAAAAGCGCATCCAACCAATTGCCAGTCGATTTTGTCGGCTAAAAAATAAAATTACGCTATGAAATTCCAAAAAATATAAATTAAATTCAGTTTAGCAATTTAAAACACACTATTATTCATTTAGATACATTATTAGTACATTTTTTAAATATATTCTTACTTGTTTAGGTAAGTCTCGTATCATTTTCCATGTGGGATACTGCAGTTCCGATAAAGTTTCAATATTTCGACAACAACCCGGCGTTTGATCAGCCAGATTATTTTTGGTTACTTTGGATCCGAGTAGTATTATGCCCAGCAAATTTTTTCCTTGACTTAAAATTTTTCTTTCTATAATACGAACGGCGCATTCTCTTGCACTTTCAAAAAAAGTTTTCTGATTTTTGTCTTCTAATATTGAAACGTTTTTTCCAATGTCAAAAATTATGATAGTACCTTGATCTACTTTTGTTGGAGCCATTATTCAGGAGGAATAAATAATAATGGAAAGAAAAATAATAATAGTAGGCTATATCTGCACTTTCTTGGTCATTGGTAGTTCGTACAAGTTTGAACAAGTTTGACAATTTAACGATGATTCAATGTTTGGAAACAAATATACAATAGCTGGTAGTTACGTCATGTGTGGCAAAACACAGATAATTATTGTTAACAAAATAAACAACAAAGTATTAGAGGTAAATAAAACAAATTAAGATGCATTAAATCCTTTACTAATTTCAAATAGATAGTCGTGACTAAAACGTAGATCACATGAATAAGTTAACTTGAAAAGTTCCATGAACTACTTCCGAATATCAGGAGAATTTAACTTAATTCAAATACGTAAATTGTAAGGTGTAAATTTTTTTTGTAGCAAATTCATTCTTTTCGTTAAATAGTTACTTATGTACTTTCAAAATTATTTATATTTAAACTAGTTTAATTTATTGATATAGAATAATAGTATGTTACGTCATAAAGTTTAGATTCTAAACAAAACATCAATGGAAATTATTATTTAAACTCGTAAGGACCTACCTATTCATTTTACTCAGAGTAACGAATCGTATTTGACAATTCACATCATTTGACATTTATTTGTTGATCAATAGTGCTGCTAGACCGTAATGTGTGTTTTTTAGCATTCATGTTTTTAAATAAATATATTATCCTATCACTATGAAATTTCATCGCAAATATTGTGAACCGAATCTTTTAATTTGCCATTAATCAGTACGAGAATTAGATATGATGAAGTTTTCGTTTCAGCACAGGGCATTTTACTGCTATCTTGGCATGAGTATTTGGATATGTTTTCTTATAACTGGTGAGTTTATAATATTAGAATATTGAGCTATCGTTACAAAATATCTCTCAGGATAATTCGTACCGTAAATTATGTATAATTCTGTGATTATTTTTATATTTCGCAAGCTATTGAATAAACTGTTATTTTGCAGTAGTTTACAAATACATGTCTGTAGTTGAAGACACGGTCGCGTTGAAAGTTACTCATAACCAGCATGTGTCCAAGACTGATTCAAAATATAGGAAGCTCTTCATGCGAGCCTGTAATCCTCCTGATAGTATAGTTAGGGGATCAGAAGGTAAATATTACTATGATAAATTTTTTGTCGAAATAAAACTAATATTTTCATATTTACTACGCGATTTTAATAACTTTAACTACATACTCCCAACGCTTTGGTTACTTTACAGCAACTATGATAATGGGCTGATGAGATAAGAATAATTAAAATCATGTAGTAAATCCGAAAATATTAGTGTTATTTCAATGAAAAATAACAAAAGTCTTAAGCATCATTGATGTTTTGTTATCAGAAAATTGGTTACCATTTAATTTAAAAGTTGTTTCTTGTTTTTAAATTTCAGCATACTGAATAAGAACTTTTTTACTTTACTTTGGAATAATGTATATTTTTTTAGTATTTTAAGTTTTGTATGGAACTTTCTTACAATTGGTGTAATTTAACCTAAGAAAAATCTTTTAAATATTAATTTTACCAATATATTAATGCTAAAAAGTTTGTGGAGCTTTTGGTTATTTTTAAACTAATGAGTTTTTATCACACATTCAAAAAGATTTGCTAGCTTTAAGATTCCCTGCACTTCTATCGAAGGACTCTCTTTATATTAACTTAAATAATTTATTAAAGACAATTTTTGAGGTTTTACTAATATTATAAACAAAAAATCTCATTTCTCTGTTACTCATTATTGTAATTTTTAAATCAATGTAATCTATACTAATATTATAAAGCTGAAGAGTTTGTTTGTTTGTTTGAAAGCGCTAATCTCCGAAACTACTGGTTCGAATTGAATAATTCTTTTTGTGTTGGATAGTCCAGTTATCGAGGGAGGCTGTGGGCTATATAACATCACGCTACGACCAATAGGAGCAAAGATATAGTGGTAAATGTGTAAAAAACGGGAGAAATTATTTCATCTTTGAAGCCTTCCGTTGCGTGCGCCGTGAAAACGGTTAAAGATACACAAAAAATATGTATGAAAGAATAATAGCTCTTTTAATGATCTAAACAACAGTCCGCGACAGTATATGTCTATCTTTTATGATTGACTCACAAAAACCGTTTTTATGGTACCTAATTTGGTCGAAATAATTTGTTTAAGTTGTATCAACATAATAATATTAATTTTTATTCAAATAAACAAATAAATATGTTGTTGGTTAGGAGTATTTCATTGTGAATAAAAAAAAACATAGGTTTTATCCTGAAAATTCTACGGGAACTGTGGGAATGTGGGAAGAACCAAAAATCTGCCGGAAGTCACGATTCCACGCGGACGAAGTCGCGGCAAACGCTAGTTTTTAATATGTACCTTGATAATAATTTATAGCATGCAATTTTAAAGTATTGATTCTTTTAATAATAATTGTATATCTTCAAATAATTGTATGTATTTTGTGTTACAAATCTTCCATATAAAATTCTTTTTCATATTCCAGACATTGATGAAATAATGTATGTCATATTAAAAGAAAATATTTAGGGATCAAAGAATCATATTCCATCTTATTAATAAAGAAAAGAATCAAATAAAAAAATATCTATTCATATATTTATACAAATATTTCATATATTTTTATCTTTTTTCAGCTGCAGTAGATTCAGACAACTGGTTGTTACAAGGCATCTTAGTTATGACGAGGCACGGTGACCGTGGACCACTAACTCATCTGAAAGGCGGGGATAAATTACCTTGTGATGTTGTTCCCGTTTCACCCTTGCTTAAAAGGTACTTAACAATATAAATATTCATTAAAACATTTCATTATTTTAAAATTATTAATTTTGTAATATGAATTTGTTGGAAAATTTGGTAATTTGGTGGAAAAAATTAAGTAAATATAAATGTATCATTTAATACTTATAACATACTTGTATAGTCTCAAATCAACTGAATTTTGTGACATATTTGAAAGCCAACACTAAAATTATTATAGTTTGTTACTGGGCTTATAAAATATTATTATTTATTTGTCTAAACAGAAAAAAGCATGTATCATTTAAGACAAATAACATACTTGTACAGTCTCAAATGAACTCAATTTCACAACTAATTTTACAGTTAACTTAAACATTATACAGTCTTTTACTTGAGTTTTTGACATACTAGCTGCGGCCCGCGGTGTTACCCACGGATTTCCGGTATGTGATTAAAGTAGCCTATGTGTTATTCCTGGACGTCAGCTGGCTATATACAAAATTTTTGTCAAAATCGTTTCAGCCGTTTGAGCGTGAAGAAGTAACAAACAGACGTGTGTCTATCTACTCACAAACTTTCGCAATTATAATATAAGCAGGATTATTTATATATTATTTTTTGAGGTGGTAGAGCCTAGCTGTAGTCAATTTACTACAGCTCGAACATGGACTGGCTCGACCGGGGAAGTACCACCCTGTCACAGAAGATCGGCGTGAAGTAGTCAATAATGGCTGCGTTTCGTCCGATGAGTGAGAGAGCCGGTTGCCCTTTCCCTGTTCCCAACCTTTCCTTATATTTCCTTATTCCCACTCCTCCCTTTTCCCCCACAAGTAAGGTTGGCAACGCATCCGCAACAAAGATGTTGCGGATGTCCATGGGCGACGGTCACTACTGAACATCAAGTGGGCCGTCTGCTCGTTTGCCAATTTTTACATAAAAAAAAATACAGCTAATTAAAGTTTTCTATACCCATAGTTATGAGGAGTTCGTGTTGAACGCCTCTTCGTCGGGTCGTGCGTGGTGGGTGTCAAATGCAGGGCCGTTTCATAATTTCCCATCATTACCACGAGCCGCAGCCACTCACTGCGCCCTCGGTCAACTCACACCCACTGGATTACTACAGATGATCACCGTTGGTAAGACCGAGTGAATATACCTTTATTTGTATAACATATTGATAATAATGTATATCATTATTTTATGTTTTATACCACTTTATTGTAAGTGATCAATGTGTTATGTATTTTTTAAGAATTAATATAGATTTTAATGGTAATTTATAATTATTAAACAAAAACAGGAATAATTAATATGGTGCCAATAGAGTAATTTTTTATGGAGTGCAAATAGACTCCAGGCCGGGAATAATTTACTAACAAAGTATTTGAATAGACAATATAGCATTATAAATTTTTGAATATTGACACCATTGAATTGGCTGAAATAAATTAATTCTATGAATAATCAAAAAATATGTATGTGATAAAATAGTTTAGCGGTTAAAATTCTCATCTCTGTCCAACGGTATCTCAGTTTGATGTCTGGGTAAATAAAAAAGATGATAAAAGTTTACTCAGTGATTAAAATTCTAAAGCATATCTTATGTGATTATATTTAGAAGTGTTACTTTAGCTCTTATATCAAAATGTTTATTTGCTGTTCATACTTTTTAATTTTTTTAATTACAGGCAATATTATTCGTGAGGCATATAGTGAGAAATTGGGGCCAGAATATTTAGATTTAACAGGAAAACATGAGAGAAGTGAGTATAATTAAATATTTTGTAAAAAAATATATATTAATAATAGATAGTACTTTCCTTTCTATATTATTGACACTAATTGAACTAGTGACAAAAGCTACCAAAGGATAGTAATGAATTAAATAACAATTTTTTCTTTCATTCATAATAATATAATATAATTACTTAAAAAGAAAAATATAATACTTCGTGAATTTTAATTGTCTTTATATCGTTTAAAAAAAAATACAACAATACAACATAAGTGGCTAAGCTTATAGTACCCAGAATTATGACAAAAAAAATATATGGAAGTATTGTTTAGGCAAAAAAATCATACTAAATACGTATGTTCTAGGTGGAATAGCATATAGCACTCGGTACCGGCGTACCTTCCAGTCGTTGCAAGCGGCCTCGTGGGGCGCAGGCCGGGGCGCCGCGGCCGCCCGAGAGGCTCACAGTGTGTCCTTCTGTTACAGACACTGCGCTTGTCACGCACACCACCTATTAGACAAGTTAGTTGACCTATATTAATCATATATAATAGTAGCTGCGCCCCGCGATGTTACCCGCGGATTCCCGAGATGTAAAGTAGCCTATGTGTTATTCCTGGATGTCAGCTTCCTGTATACAAAATTGTATCAAAATCGGTTCAGGGTTTTGAGCGTGAAGAAGTAACAAACATACACACTCACAAACTATCGCAATTATAATATTAGTAGAATTGTGATTTGGATGACACAATCAATTAAATGATCAATGGTTTCTCTGTAAGGAAAGATTTAAAGCTAATAATTTTCAATGTCGATTCAAATATCACAATTTAAAATGAATGTGATCTATTTTAGAAATTCTCTTTTTAGCAAAAGTTTCGTTATACGTTTTACAAATAAAATTAAAGCACAGATAACAATATTTACATTTGTCTATGACACATTGAGAAAATTCTATTTTTGTTTACATATATCTATTCTAATAAGGTAGGGCCATACGTAATAACCAATAAGTATCATCTCAATTATTATTAATTCACTTTTAATATGGTTATGTTAGGTCTTAGGTTAGTTAGTTGGCATATTTTAGTAATTAATCACAACATCTAAAGATTCCAATTAGGTAAACCCATATATACTCATCAACTAATTTATATACAATAGGTTTGGTTGACTCAAAACCACTTTTTTGTACATAAATGGCATTATATTAGAAAAATATCTTATCTTAATAGCATTTATTTCGCAGAAAAATAAGCACAGAAGCAAAGAAACGTTTGGAATCCCACCCAGCAATAAAGGAATTGATCAAGAAATTATCGAAAGTGTTATTTGAGTCCCAGGAATATATTGATGCAGACGTAGTCAGGGACGCGTTACTAGCTTACATGTGTCACGAGGCGCCGCTACCTTGCTCTGAAAGACCGAAGAAAAATAATAGAAAACTATCGCTGAATAAATCCAAAAGAAAATATAGATTTGAGACAATCCCGCAAAGAAATCTCTTAGACGTAGATATAGATACGTTGAATTTGGAGCTAGACTATATCAATAATCAATTGGACTTCAATAACGAAATAGGCAGAAAGGCCAGAGATATTATAGGGAAGTATGACAAAAAAACTCCATTAGATTTCGACGCGCAAATGGAGAGAGAGAAACTTTTATACTACCAGCAAAGATATTTAGACAACGCTGAATCATATGACGACGTGGTTGTAGTCAAGAAAAATCTTGACGCTGATTTTAACTTCCCAAATGAAGTTCGTGATGATTTCGATGAAGATTATAAAGAACCTACACCAGAAACTGAGGATTTTTGTATAAAGAAAGAGCATATTATATCCGTTTTCGCCTATCTAGAATGGAGTTACCGTCAGGATGTCAAAAACTTACACAACAGAAGACGCGGGCTGTTAATAGCTTATGGCCTGATACATAATGTTGTACAAAACATGATAAGAATCATATCTGAGAATAAACCGAAATTCGTTTTATATTCCGGTCACGATAAGACATTGCAGGCGTTGATTTTGGCGTTGGGACTAAAAAGCTACCAACATTATAACATACAGTACGCATCCAGAATAATCTTCGAGGTTTACAGGAAGAAAGATTTACGGGACGAATTCAAATTCATTAAAAGGAAAGCTGTTGCCCAAGATTTCTATTTCCGGGTGGTTTATAACGGGGAGGATGTGACGGATAAACTTAGTTTCTGTTTTGACTCACAGCTAGTAACTATGAAGGTAGTCGATCCTATAGACGACGTTAAAACCTACAACACATATCTATGTCCGATAGAAAACATAGTGAGGTTCATTCACGATGATTATTTCTCTAGTTTCAATGTTAGTAACTTCAAAGACGCCTGCGCAACTTATGGAAGCTCTAAGACTGTTTATTAATTAAGTTACATGCCATATAGTATTTTTTCACCAATGCCATGATTTGTGTGTGTGATTTTGTCGATGGTGTAGACATTTGCAGTATTTTCTATTTATTGTAAAATTATATAAAACACTTGAATTAATTTCAAACAAAAGGTTGGAAAACTGAGAAATAAGTTTTATAGAGATTATTTATTATTATTTTATCAATGTCAAACTCTGTTGAAAATCTTTCAATAACAAATTAGTTTATGACCACAGTCAGTTTTTTTTTATTTCAACATACATACAACACAAGTTAAGGCATATGGTGAAACGGTTTAGTGAAATTTACTTTATATCACCTTTACTTATTTTCTATAAACTTAATTTATTAAATTAATTAATAATTTATTTTGATATATGTTTATGTACTTAACATTGACTGGTATTTAAGTTTTGAAATAACATTTAATCAATTAATTTATATTTTATTATAGTTTTGTGAAAATATTTTTGTAATCGCTGCCAGATCTCACTATTTATTTAAGTTTTTATTTGAATGGATATTTATTCGTGGTTTTGAAATTATTTTTAAATACATTGGAAGAAGATCTGCTCTTCAGACAATAAAATTACTAAAATAAGTCCAACGAAACAGGATAAATTTTGTAAATAACTTTGAATCTCTTGAGTTATATCTCTCCGTCCCATTTATTCATTTATTCTTTTTAGTCACATTACAAACAGCTGATGCTATATTACCTCCCACAAGTTCAAAAACTTTGTTTACATATATTATCCTGTTACGCTGGACTTGAGCTATGTTATAAAAAATATCTCTGCTAGTAAGTATTATTAAATTTTACCTTAAGTAATAACTTATTAATTCGTATAAAACTTTCACATGTATATTTAATTCTCACAATTAAAATTAAACAGTGCGGCATAGTTTTTTTAATATTAAAAGTATTATATAAGTGTATGTATGTTTCTATGTGGAGTATCGTGAGAAGACTGCACTATACATTTTATTCAATATTATTCCGAAAAAAGGAATTCCTTAAATCCAAGAAACGCACAAACATTAAGATATTTTGACTTAGCGTTGTATATATTTAAAAAATATGAGAAAATTATAACATATCGAAGAATTGTTTGACATTTGTGTTGAACAGGGTTGCCACCAAAGAAATAAATACTTCATTAGGGTTGTCAATGCTAACTTAGTCCTTTTTTTCTTTCCCGTTTCTAAACTATGAGTAAAGACGGCTTGTAACTTAATAACGACAACCCTCATTCGTTTAATATATTGAATGTAAGCTTAATATAAATTCCCATATGTAGTTTTAATTTCATTTTATTTTTAATGGAATAGACATATCATGAAGTTCATAGTAATAAAATTGTTGACCCTCTTATGTTGTTTTATTTTGTGTTCCCATGTATGAAATTACTTTATATAAATTCTAAACGCATTTTTCCCACAAAAAACAAACTGTAGTCTCGATTTTAGATCTTCATTTTGTTATAATTACTAAAAATTTATAATATAGCAATTTTTACGAAAACATTAATAGTTAGATAAAGATTTTTTTTTTGTTTTTAAACGATTAATCATTTTATTTGATAAGATTAAAATGTCTGTTGTACATAAGTTACGATAAGACTTATTTAAAATATTATGTTTTAATTAAAATATAAATGATTGTTAATGGAAATAATACTAGTCTTCTTATCTTTTTAGATATATTTAAAATTGTTAAAAATATATTAACTATTTATTTTATTAAATTCAAGGTATAATATATTTTATTAAATAATAATCTAACAATATGTTTCAGTAGAAGGAACTTATTATGTAACTAGCTTTTGCCGCGGCTTCGTCCGCGTGGAATAGTTACTTCCGACAGATTTTTGGTTCTTCCCACATAGTTCCCGTTCTTGCGGGGTTTTCGGAATGGTCGAGTTATCGTAGAATTTTCAGGATGAAACCTATGTTTTTTTTTATTAATAATGAAGTACTCTTAACCAACAACATATTTATTTGTTTATTTGAATAAAGATTTCGAGTAATATTATTATTTTGATACAACTTAAACAAATTATTTCGACAAAATTAGGTATCATAAAACGGTTTTTGTGAGTTAATCTTAAAAGATAGACATATACTGTCGCGGACTGTTTTTTAGATCATTAAAAGAGCTATTATTCTTTAATACATACTTTTTGTGTACCGTTTTCACGGCGCACGCAACGGAAGGCTTCAAAGATGAAATAATTTCTCCCGTTTTTTACACATTTAACACTATATCTTTGCTCCTATTGGTCGTAGCGTGATGTTATATAGCTCACAGCCTTCCTCGATAACTGGACTATCCAACACAAAAAGAATTATTCAATTCGAACCAGTAGCTTCGGAGATTAGCGCTTTCAAACAAACAAACAAACTCTTCAGCTTTATAATATTAGTATAGATTAGAAAGATCAAAATAGATCTTTCTTTAAAAGAAATTTAGAAACTATAAAGAAATATTCAAATTTAGCTCTGTTTATTTAGTAAAGCTACACATTTCCATTTAATTATTGACCATAGCCCACTAAGATCAGAACTAAAAGTAACACGGATGAATGCCCGGAGTTGAACTCGAACAAGCCACTATTTTCTTTGATTCTTAACAGCTTACAGAAGATCGGCGTGAAGTAGTATTTTATGGCTGTGTTTCATCCGTTGAGTGAGAAAACCAATTAACCTTTCCCTTTTCCCATCCTTTCCTGCCCTTTTTCCCTTCCTTTTCCACCTTTTCCCTCCCCCTCATTCCCAATCAAAGGTGGCAAATGGCTCAAAACTATGTTGCGGATGTCCAGGAGTGACAGTACTACCTCCATCGGGTAGACCGTCTGCTCGATTGCCTGTTAAGCATAAATAAAATAGTTATTATTCCTAAGTTATTATTTAAATAGTCATAATTAACGATACAATAAAAGGAAAATGCCTAATACCTTTCGAAAAATTACTTCCTATGTAATATTCTTCGATATTTCATAATAGAATCCATTAATCTTCCACGTATGGCTGCGTGTTCATCCACGTGGTCTTGTGGCCTTGACAATGACCAACATCAGTCTCGCATTGCTAATACGACATGCTCATTGAAATTATACTTGATAACAGATTTCATTTCGTACACTGTAACTTTACCTACGAGGTATTTCAATGAGATCGATTTTTTTTTTATTTTTAAACCAATACAAGGTCAATTAATATTCATCTTTATTAGTAACAAAAAGTTTTTATATGTTAAAGTTTATGATTGTTATATAGCTGTGAAACTTTTGGATAGAATACATTTGAAATTGTGGTTTCATTACATCCTAATTTATGTACACCCACATCCAAAGCAATTTTATATCACAAGTTATGAGTTATTAGAATTTATGAGACTTATTCAGGGTATATCTATTTCCATAAATGTTTTGTCCTATAATTATTTTGACATTTATTGCACACTTAGAAATACGAAATTTATTAAGCTAACTATTTGAGGTACACAATTCACCTACAATTAAATAAAAGTAAACTATCGAAACATTTTCAGAAAAAGCGGTACTGAATGGTTGGTAACTAGTATAAATAACAATAATAAACTAACAAATAAGTTAACTTGCATCAATAAACGGAACAAAATATATCAACATGAGTATGAAGATGGGGTACTTAAAAAGTGTAATAAATTTAGAAGGCAACTAAAAATCATAATATTATTATAAGCCTATTGTAGAATACAACGCTCTAAGCTTTAAAGCTAAATTGAACAGCATTCTTCTGGTTGTGGGTGTTCATATCACGAAATTAACAACAATACCGATTTTATGATACGATAAATAATTTGAATAATGTTTATTTATTAGGCATTGTGCCAAACAGATTCTAAAATAATGCACATTGATTACGTGCTCTGTTTACGGTTATATAAAATAGTTTATATAAATTCTACTAGATGGCGTTAGTTATCAAGTGCGCCAAATATTCTTCAGGTGCAACGATTTACGGCAAATGTCCGTTAAATGCTAAATTTGAATGACATTTTTACAATTCATGTATTTTTTGTGATATAAATTTGTAAGTATTACTACAATAAAATAGATTACGTAAGATTATCTGCGAAAATAATGATAAATCAGGTGCCGTGCAGATTAGCGTGTGAATTGATTGATACCTTGTTTACATTGTGTCTACTTGAGTTGCGTTAGCGCATATTACATACTAATACACGACGTAAACAAATATATCACGAGAGTTGTTTTTTTCAATCTGTTTGTTTGCATGACCATTTAAAAACTATTTTGCATGCATTTATTACTGATGTTTAAATATTTAAGCATTTAAATGATAGTTTAAATACAGGTAAATGCTATTAAAAATCTGCTTATGTCGTAGGAAATTTTAAATAGTACAAAGGCAATAATATTTAATAATAATTTCAGCTTCCTACTAAATGACAATTAAGTGATATGTTATCTATGTTAATTGTTGCATACTCTTTAAATTAGATCATTTATAAGCTGTTCTGATTAATTAAATCGAGTATTCTGGGAATTGTAAGTTGTATTATTATATGGTTTCGTTTCGTATGAAACAGCTAAACAAGTAAATGAATATCAAAACCTGTTTTGTCGGGAGGTGTGTCCGCGGCGTAACTGTCTGTGTTCTGACTCACTGTCAAGTAAAAGTAAACACATTCAAGGTTTTCAATGTTTTTAAACGTTTTCTAACAAAGCGTTATTCATAATGTTTTTATTACGTAATTACATGTTTTTCATACTTAGAAAAAATTCATACCTATAATAAATCCAAAACGAATGTTATCGAAATTTTTTTTTTTCGTAACCTAATTAGGCAGTTTCATTTTTGAGGCATAGACTTACAAGAGGATAGTAAAAATTAAAAAAAAAAATGGCTGCCAAAGTAAAAACTTTTTAGAGATTTTTGGGAGAAGTATTTGAGTTAGACTCAAACATTCCAAATAACGACATTA